TGTTAATTTTTCTTGTTGGAACCAGGAAGCTATTGAACCTTAACTTGTCATCTGGTTCACAGTTCCACTTATAATTTGAGTGATTTAGCTAGTCAGAAAGTTGTCGAAATTGACGATAAAATTTATTTGTTGGTAAAAATGACTAAATTATTTATCTTTGATGTCTTAGCGGTCCTATTAAAATTTGAACATTCTAGCTATTAGGAAAATTGTCAAAATTTCGATTGATGATTATGTGGCCTATTAACGATGATATGACGATAAATCCTGTTAGAAACGATCAAAAAACGACTGGAACTTGCATTTAGCACAGAGCTCCAATTAAAATATGAGAAACGCAGTTGCTTAGGGTATTGAGCGTTCACCTTTTTATGAGGTGAACCACATTAGAATCCCACCGGTGACTGGTTGATACGAATTCTGCTCCCTCGCCCCAACCATAGTGCCGACGTAAAATATTATCAGTGGTAGACAGATCATCAGGGAGAATCCTCTTGCTATCGAGTTTACTGTGGGAAGTTTTCGTGGTTTCCCACTCTATGTAACTCAAATGCCGGTCAATTTAATCAAAAAGTCCTATAGGTAAGCTAGTTTGTCCTATTGCTTGATCGAGGAGTACCCTTGTCATCTGGCTTGGGTTTAAAATTACATGGCTATGGGGTTGAACCTAGATTATCGTGAACTCAGGGTCGGCTGTTCAGTGCCGGTTGTAAAATAAAATAAAATTAAAATTTGAGATCACTCTAGCGAGTCGGAACAAGTTCGAAATTTAATTTAGAATAAAATTCGTTTTATGAAAAAATTGCGATAAATTATATTTGTGACGATCAGAAAATGATTGAAACTTTTATTGTTATTAGACACAGACCTCAAGATTTGGCAAAAATTTTATAGCTAATTAGAAAAGTAGTGAAATTTTAATCGACAACAATTTTTTCTCGCCGAAGATGTAATGACGATAATTCTGCTTATTGCTACTAAGCACAGAGTTGCAGAAGAGATTAGTCTGGAGGAGTTAAAAATTTCGATGATAAGATTCCATTCTTACTACTACGAAAACGTGTTAATAAAAACTTAGTAAATTGTTATAAGTAGTCTATAAATTAAAAAATCAGAAAAATATGGTGTGGACTTGGACTATCAATGATACTTCGAACAAAAAGTAATTATTTTTAGTCTCATGAGTTTTTTATTCCTTCTTCGAACTTTAAATACTTCTACGTATAAATATTTAAGGAAGTTAATTAAATTCGTGATATTTTAACTTCAATATTATCCTTACGAATATTTAAAACGACAATTTTATTTATCGTTGCATATATATTTCTAAAACTGCGATCGAATTAGCGACATTCCAATTTTTTAGTCTTAAATATCATGCAAACAATACCGAAAGCCGCTTTTAGCTGAGCTTTTACTTTTCCTTTTATATTAACAGGAATTCATTTTAATGGAGGAAAAAATACAGCTTTTATTGTTTACCTTCATTGTTCTGGTTCAGCAGGAATTTGCTCTTCTGTTAATCATTGATTGCCTTCAAGGTCAAGGTTACAGGGTTGAAAGGACACCTGTAATCATGCGTCGATTTTGAAGGTCGCGCCACTGCCCCATCTAAAAAGCAACGATTTCCGGCAACAATTAGAATGTATATGTAACACCGATTATAAACTCGATTTCAGCAGATTCACAGATGTGTCTATTGTATGATGTCTATTGTATCACATTATATCTACTAATTAAACTCCGATTGTATTAAGTAAATAATACTTCGAGGCGATTATTTTGAAATAAAATACTATTATGGCTACATTTATATTGTATTTTATTACGTTTATTAATTTTCAACAGATACCATATGAATGAGATGTCTGAATTTTATTATGTCGGTATCGCATTTATATTTACTAATTAAATTTGGATTGCATTTAGTAAATAATGTTTTCAAACGATAATTTTGAAATAAAATATTATTACGACTACATTTTCATTTTTTTTTTTTTTNTTTTTTTTTTTTTTTTTTTTTTTTTTTTTTTTTTTTTTTTTTTTTTTTTTTTTGTAATTTTCTCCCAGCAGTTATCAGCAAGATACATGTGAGAAAAATTTTTATTGTGTCGGTATCACATTTATATTTACTAATTAAGCTTCTATTGCATTTAGTAAATACACGAATTATTTTCAAACAATTATTTTGAGATAATGTATTATTATGACTACATTTATTTTGTATTTTACTTCATTTATATGGGCAGTTTTCGCAGATGCATATTAGATGTATCTGTATTTTATTTTTAATGTCGGTATCACATTTATATTTTCTAAACTTCGATTGTATTAGTAAATAATATTTCCCGACAATGAAATACTATTATGATTACATTTTTCTTCTATTTTATTACAAGTATAGTTCTCATCAGATACGTATGAGATGTGTCTGTATTTTATTCGGTAAGACATTTATAGTAGTAGTTAATTAAGCTTCGTTAAGCTTTTAAGTAATAATTAAGCTTCTATTTCATTGAGTATAAATGCTATTTTCAGACGATTTTTTTGAAATGGAATATTATTACGACTACGTTTATTTTGTATTTTACTACATTTATGTTCATTTCTCAGAAAATACAGTATTTTTTTTACGTCGGTATCATATTTATATCTTTTAATTAGTTTAATTCGATTGTATTTAAATAATATTTTCCAATGATAAAATACTATAATATGACTACTTTTTTTGTATTTTACTTTAAGCAATTCTCAGCACATACGTATGAGATGTGTCTGTATTTTATTATATCGGTTTCACATTTATATTTATTAATTAAGCTACGATTGCATTTAGTAAAAATACATTATAATAGTAATATTTCAGACGATTATTTAAAATAAAATATTATTATGACTACATATATTTCGTATTTTTCTATATTTACATCGGCAGTTCTCAGCAGATAAATATGAGAAAGTTTCTGAAATTTTTAATGTCGGTATCACATTTATATTTACTAATTAAGCTTTGATTAATTTAATAAGTAATATTTTCAAGCGATAATTTTGAAATGTAATATTACTATGACTACATTTATTTTGTATTTTACATTTTTATGACTTTTTTATTATTTATTTATATCAGCAGATACATATGAGATGTGTTTGTCATTTTTTTTATGTCGGTATCGTATTTCTCTCTGTTTCGATAATATTAAGTAAAAAATATTTCTCGACAATGAAATACTATTATTATTTTGTATTTTGCTACATTTATGTATTTGGTTTGAATTGTTCGCTTTTGAATCGATTTTGTTATTTATGCTTATTGTTATGTAATCGACTGTGTATCACTTTACTATATAAGGTGATAAAGACTGTTTCAAAGTAAATAAAATACCAGTCACACCTAAATCGGGAAATAACATCTTTGCTTACTAAAGCAATTAATTTTATTACATTAAATTTGAGTATGACTTGCTAAGTCTTAAATGTGTTAAATTTAGTTTTATATATTTCATGATCTGCTTAAAACTTAACACACAGATAGAGTTGAGTCTATCTAATCTATCATTTATCGATTGTGTAATTATTTTTCATCATCTCTATTTTAACTCTCCTCATTTCCTTTGTAGTAAAGACACCAAAATATAATTGTAAAAATTGTATCTGTATAAAAATTCCATATGTATAAAAATTGTATTTTGTAAATAGATACTCGTAATATTTTCATCCACAAACGGGCTAAGCTGAACTTCTTTCAAATATTTCTAAACGTTACTATTTGCCTGTATAATGCACAAAATAATATTATTATCCATAATAATAATAATGATGGTAATCATCTGAATAACTTTTGATCTAATGATTGGATCTTCATATACTCAATCTTAATAGCTTAAGGGAGTAACCTCAAGTATGCTAATTAAGTAGTGCAGATAATATTTTATATTACGAAATATGACACGAAAACGTATTTTATCTGAATAAACATCCCTTTTTTTTCTACAGATTCGTATTTTTGACTCTCAAAATATAGGTAGGTCCCAATACAGTGGTTCAAAGCTTGGTTCATTTAATGCGTATTTAAGCGAATCGAAAAATTTTTGCACACAATTATAAAATTCGTTCATATAAAGTTAATTTAATGCAAAAAATATTTTTTTTAATAATTATTTAAAATTTTTTAAATTATTTAAATCTGTAGAATAGTTCCTGAAAAATCGAATTTTAAATATATAACTTCTTTAAAATTCGATTTCTCAGAAATTATACTATCAATTTCATTCGAATTTTTTACTGAAACTTATTAAATTCTTTAAAACGGTGTAAAAAATTTTATACATTACAATTCTAAATTTTTTCAACTATTATTAAGTGAAATTATTAAAAGTAGTATATAATTATTACGAATTATTTTTTGCAAGGAATTTTCTTCGGATTGATGAATTTTATAATTATGCTCAAAAATGTTTCGGTACGCTTAAAGAATTGTCTAGACATAGCGAAATACATAAAATTAAGGAGTTCTAACTTTGGATCGCTCTAGTAATCAAACTATAGGGACTGTATTTCACAGATTGCGGCTATCCCCTATACTTTAAAGGTCTAATTTTCAAATCCGTCAGAAAAATAATAATAATAAAGCATGTACTATATTCAGGGAAAGTGCATTATTCTGTCTGATTTCGTAACTTAAAATATCGTTTACACCAATTAATTAGTATATTTGAGATCACCCCATCGAGTTCTTCAAGGTTGAGTCCTAGTACTGAAATTCCGATCATCAAATCAAAAGTTATTTACAATGATTTTTTTGTGTTCTATACATTTATAATAACAGAAATTCAAAAAAATTATATGCTTATTATTGTGCGACTTTTACTAATAATTTTCAGTTAATGCGTTAGTTAAAATGTCATTGACCTTTTCCATTTTAACTCTAGAAGAGTAGTTAAGGACACGTTTTTGAGACGACGATCATTAATATTAATTTCTGATATATTTTCTTTTTTTAGGGAGGTGTCCAATGTCACAATGAAGGAGTTGAAAATGTTCCCGCAGATCACGGAGGAGACAGAGGAGAATCTTCTGAACTTGGAGAGCGACTCCAAAACTCCTTATTCCACAACTCCTCCTCATCTTTCATCATCATCATCTGACTCTCCTTCTGATGTTCCCAGCTCCCCCAATTACGAAGTAAGGCTCCCTTTTAAATCTATTTACTTCTGGCTAGAGTGTAATTTATGAGGAAAGTTTTATTTCCTCCGGAGATAATTTAATATTCCCTCGTTGCTAAGTTATTTAAAGCTGCTGGAGATTTATTAACATAATGGCCTGGCTTTGTAGACAAATAATGAAAAAGCATGTTTGCGTCATACAATATTTAAGCTTAAACATACCTTTAGTGAAGAGTTCACTTAAATAAAGGACCTTACAGTCGAAGAATGTTGCATAGATGAAAAAAAGCATTTGATTAATTTAGGAAACGGGATTTATATTTTTATTAAAATATTTGAAGCTGCTCTAGATTAGCATTCTTTGATTGTGTAGTAGTTTCTATGTTTTGACTATACTCACGGCAAAGCTAATCAGGGGTCTGTTTAGAAGAAATTTGGGTCCCTTAACGGACTCTTCAAAAAATATCTTTTTACAAAAACGGACCCTTCACAAAATATTTTAACTTAAAAACGGACCCTTCACAAAATATTTTAACTTAAAAACGGACCCTTCACAAAATATTTTAACTTAGAAACGGACCCTTCACAAAAAGATTTTTCTTTTAATCGGACCCTTCACAAATTTGTTTATCTTCATTAATATTTTGTTAATCGAATAAACCCTTTCCAGGGCAGAAAACAAGAAAGATGGATGTAAACGAATTAAGTTTTGTGTTCGGCAGACGATTCTTCCATTATTCGTCCGAAATGAATATTCTGCGTTCAGCATTATAGGCTAAATACCCAAATATTTGTATGTTGCATCTCTAATTTAAAAGCAGTAATTGCTGTTTATTTTTGAAAATTTAATTTTTTTAATTACAATTTTACAGTGCTGAGCATAATCTCGTTATCTATTTACTATTTTAAAACTCCTTGAAAAAGTTTTTTTTTGCAATAAAGGACCCTATTTGCACAAATTCATGAAAACAGACCCCGGTTGAAAGAATGTGAGTAATTTTTTCACAATTACACGAAAAACGGACCTTTCACAAAATGTCTGGACAGACCCCTGCTAATATTTACGTATGATCAAGGTTATGACAGCCTGCTTACGTCATTTTCCCTAGAGGACATAATACCGCGGGATAGATCTTTCATGGAACATTTTTTTCCCTTACATATAATTTAAAGTATACTGGTGTAAGAAATTAAGAGAATTTGCAGACTTGGTTGATTTTCTCTATAACTACTGAACCGATTTTAATGAAAATAATCCTCGCGAAGGAAAAATTTCTAAAACCTTAAAAGTTTTGTACAAAGCTTTAAAAATAGATAAATAGGCAATTCATTGTCATTGAGCTTTTGATAAAGATATCTGTGTGAATTATGTCTAAAAAGAGACAAAAATTAAATAATTCTTGAATTGTGTACTTTTACTTCAAGAAGAAGACCACGGATACCCACACAACTGACTTATGACGCCAGCTCTAGCTGATCATTTATTAGCAAAATGGCGTGTTAAAGTTGAGCTAAGTTTCTCCACATTGATTAGAATGTTAATCAACGTGAAGTTAACTAAATACAGGTTAGAATGTTAATCAACGTGAAGTTAACTAAATACAGTGCTGTATCACCCATCGAATTTATTGAAATATATTTCATTCTCGTCTGCGTCTTTTATTTAACTTAGATTTATTATTTATTTATGTATTTTATTGTAACCGTGATGTATTTTTGTTTTGTGTACCTGGCAACTTCGATGCATAATTAGTTTGTGTATATTCGATGCATAATACCTGTCTTTATGTTAAGTAAGAAATATATAGTGAAAGAATTGAAATATTTGTGAAAGAATCTTTGTGTAAGAATATAGAATGTATCATTTAAGAGAATTGATGCTAAACTTGCTTGTCTTACTCGAAATAGAAAACATCCAATTTGAAATAATTCATTAAAATACATCGAATTTGAAATAATCTAACTATTTTCAATTGCAAAATAAGTTCGAAAATAAGTACTACTAAAGTGTAACGCAAAAAAGGAAGGAAAGAATTCTGTGTTTTTACGATGGGCCAATTTCAGTTCATCACAGAGCAGATGCATCACCGTACTTATTATAGAACAGGGGTTTCCAAATCACGTGAGGCCGGGGGCCGCAATTAAGAACACCAGCCAAATAACGGGCCGCAGCTGTATCAAAATTTTATATAGGACTCTTTTGTTTTTGAAGGAATATTAAATATTACTGGCGGATTTTTATCAAGTTGTACAAGACAAAAGTATTGCATTACAAATAAGAATAAAAAGTAGATTTTTAAAAATATTTTATTGCATATTAAAAAATTCCGATCACAAAATTTACAAATGTAAATAATTTCGTCCAAAATGAGTGGTTTCAAAAAGTTAAATCGGAGAATTTCTTCGAGAAAATTTCTGATACGCACATGCTAAATTATATTCACAAAATACAAAAAAACCGAAATAAAAAAGAGCAACATACACTATTATTTTTGTACTTGGATAAATATTTTCTTAGATTCAAAATATGAGAAATAAATATTTTTGCAACGTTGGTATGTAAAATTTCACAGAAACGAAGAAATTAGGTTTTTTTTTTTAACGAAGGAAAAGTATTTTAAACCATATAGAGGTTTTACGAAAATTGTCTGCAAAAAAGGACAAATAATATATTTTAGTTCGCGGGCCAAAAAAAAAAAAAAAAAAAAAAAAAAAAAAAAAAAAANAATATATTTAGTTCGCGGGCAAAAAAAAAAAAAGGCTTCGCGGGCCGCCAGTTGGTAACCGCTGTTATAGAAGAACGAAATGTTCCTCCGAAATTTTCATGGGTACTCTAAGAAAAAGGGTTTATAAGTTTACCCCTGTAGAAGTTGCTTCACGTTGCACTAACTTACCGCGTAAGGAAACTAACATACTTAGTAAAATGAGGAACTTATGAAGTAATAGTAAGCGTAGTTATGAAACAATTATTTTATCTACAATCTTCTTATTTTGGTAAACATATATTTTTACTTTTCATCTGACAATCGTGTTTGAGGAGATTATGTTTATAAAAAAGAGGGGGAAGGAAGAAATTTAGAAAGGAGAGATGATTTCCATTTTACTGTATTTTAACTTATCGCGTATATCTGTGTCTAAATCGACTCTTTACTTTTGATTACGAAATAACAAATTTCTGATATATCGGGTGTATAAGTCAACCACTGTAAAAACCAAATCTTAAATTTTCTTAAATTAAAAAGAAAAGTCTACAAAATTTTCTTATGTTAAAAATATATCACACATTGTTCTCTTTGCCCTCAAATAAAGAGACATAAACAAATGCTGTGAGGCGTATGACGTCACTGCTAACTTTATTGAATGTGAAATAGATGATGTTCTGGAATATTTAAATTTGTAGCTTTATGGTATGATTTAAAAGATTTCATTGCGCTATATTTTTTGAAATTCGCTTGAATAAATTTTCGTTACTTTTCTTATCCATAATTTTTTTTTCTGAAGCTAATTTAAATTATTGCATCTTCTTTAAAAAAAACCCTGTAAATGTAAAGAGAATATGATAAAAAAAAATTCAACATTAAATGTATATGATGCATTAAAAATAATTTTTTAATGGCGTAAATTGATATAGAGTTATTTATATCTGGCTCAACATTGCATCAATATTGCATAATCAACTACTATCCGACTTCATTACAGGTATATAAGTCGACCGCCTGAATCGACTAATTGAATACAACACATTAAAAATAGTTTTTCAAATGTGTGAGTTTATACAGAGTTATTCATATCAATCTCATTGTTTGCATTGCATCAATATTTTATGATCAACGACTTTTCGATTTCATTTACCGGTGTGTAAGGTCGATCCCCTGAGTTTCGTTAAATTTTTGGGGTTTGAAAAGTTTATCTATATATCGAGATACAAAATAATTTATCGAAAAACCCTAAGTATTATAGAATGTTTTAAGCAAAAGATTTTTTTCCAAATTAATTTTAACTCGAAACTTACGCTACGTCATTCAATTATCTGCATTCTATTCATCTTGAACGGAAAACAAACAGTATTGTTGTTTTTAAATTTAATCTTTTTGATTGGAGAATGACGTGCAAAGCACTTTTCCGGTACTTGGCGGAAACCTTGTAACTGTTGACGAGTTTCGACTGCAGTGACTGGATGCCATCCAAAGAGGGGTGGTTCAACGAACTGGAATTCTGAGATCGATTGCAAAATGCTTTCTACAAATAAAATAGATTGTGCTTTTAATGTTGATTGTTGAAGATTAATTGACGAATGAATAAAAAGGAGAAATACACAATTGCGTGTCTTTAAAAACGCCTTCGATCATGCAAATAAAAAGCCGCAATTTGAGTCCCTTTAAACTGAAAGCAACGTTTTTAAGTTATATTATCTTGTACTTCCTATATCAGGGGTGGCGAACCTTCATGCACCAACGTGCCATTTTTTCTAAAATATATTTTAATGAGGTCATAGACGTGCCGATAAATAGTTTTGAATTCGTGATTATTGGGTAAATAATAATACTAAATACTATCAACTCAAAACTATTTATTTACTAAAATTTTTTTTTTTTTGCAATGTTTCAGTTATACGCGTAATTCAACTTAAAGTAACATCAGTGTGACTTCTGTTGTTGCAGATTAGATGGCAAATAACATATATTAGGGTTATAAAATGTTAGTTTAAGCAGAACTGTTAATTTTTTATGCTAGTTATTTATTTTTCGCTTGTAATTTATGGTTATTAATTGCTTTTTTGGCATTAATTGTTCTTTTTTTGTGAATTTTAATTGAATTGTTAATATGCTTCATAGTGAACTTTGTGATCGGTGGCGTGCCCAAAATATTGTGTCGCGTGCCATAAGTGGCACGCGTGCCATTGGTTCGCCATCACTGTCCTATATGATCTTCTATTCCTATTTTATCTATATTTTTCGGACTTAAAAACGAACAAATAACTTAAATTTCTTATAAATTATCATTATTTTAAAAAAAATC